CAAGGCATCTTCTCTCTCTATCCTCCTGCAAATGGAACAGCTGACCCAGAGGAGAACTGGGACTGATATCTTGGGGCTTTCTTTCACCCACCTTCTGAAAAATGGGTTTGTATGCATCTGCAGCATTAGTGAAGCCTGGGTAAAATTGACCCCCTGCCACTCTGCCATGACCTTATGTGAAGGTCTCCATAAACTCCTGTGAGGCAGACCAAGGCTGCAGCCCTCATTGGGGACTCTACCTGTCCAGATCAGGCGTTTGGCTATTTTTTACTCAATCTTCCTTTACAAACTGTGTTATGTACTGGTGAGACAGATGAAAAGCATAGTCTCTGGCCTTAAATTAAGAGCACGCAGATGGAAAACAATGGTAAACAAACCATTCCAAAGCATTATGATGTTTCAAAATGGGAATATGTACAAGACCAGGCACAGGAAATACATGTTGGGGTGGGGGCAGGAGAAAGGATAGAGAAGATGAACTATTTCTTTGAGAGTCAGGGAAGGCTTCAAAGGGGGTAACTAACACAAGTCAAATTCTGAAAGATAAGGAGGAGGTCATTAGGTGGGCATGGGGCAGGGCAGTACAAAATCACATCCAATGGTAGAAAGGATCAGACAGTGAGGTTCTTCACAGATAGGAGTCTAGGGACATGTGGAAGACTGACAGTAGTAAAGCCAAGAAGTAGACAGAGACCAAATCATGAAGGACCTTGAATGCTGTGATTAAGAGGTTTGCAGTTTATCCTAAAAGCAATGGGGAGCTATGGACCAATTTTAGTCACAAGAGTCACAAGAACAGCATCCTTACTCAAGAGCACTCCTGTACTCAAGAGAAACTCTGATAAATCCATTCACTCTGGAGAATAAACGACTCAGGTAAAATAAATGAGATCTCATTACATATAAAGAAAGACAGCTCTACGAAGATTTTACAGGTGTGAAGCAGGAGGTGGGAGTGCTGTCTGCTGAGGAAACATGCTGGACGTCACTGTAGGTATGATTGGGCTTTGTTTTAGTGAAAGAATCATTAGTTCAGTTCTTAGAGGAGAAAGAAGTTAGAAGACCCTGTTTCTGTCTTTTTCACTAATCAGAGGCTGGTCTTGTCTTCAAAATTCTGTCCCTGGTATTTGGCTGGGACTGTTTTGGGCAAATAGCACCCTCTAGAGGGAAGAGTATGATTGTTTTGGATGGGGCAGCAACAAACCATTTCCAGAGCTTTGGCCTGCTTCCTTCTCCAGGGGCTTGGCCAGCTTGCGGGTGGACTGCCACTGATTGTTTATTCACTTCTGACTCTGGCCACCATGGAGAACAAAGCTGCCTGGCTGTGGGAGGTGGCGCAACAGCTGGGAGCAGCAGATAACAGCTGGAGGTGGCAGATATAAAGGCTGGCAACAGCAGGCACAACAGCTGGAGGCGGCAATCACAACAGCCAGAGGCAATGAAGAGGCTAGCCAGGAGCCAAAATCTCCAGTGCCCACGAGGCTGTAGCCTTAACACTGGGCTCTAGAAGCTCCAGCCTCTGTCTTCTTTTTCTTGGCTGTGGTCCTCTACATAGGGTATCACAGAGGCTCATCCTGAGATCATGAGACCCATGAGAATTTATCTGGGCTACACAGAAGCAGTCGCTACAATTAAAAAGTTCTGGACTAACAGCCAGAAGAGCCAGAAGGTTCTGTTCCAGCTCTACCGCTAATCTACTTGGGGCAAATCTTTCTGAGCCTTACTTCCTAATGATGTCTTTCCTACCTACCTCACGGTGTGAGGATCAAATTACATATTTTATTAACTTTAACTTTAAAGTGATAAATAATCATAGACTAATATTTTGGGAATGATAAGCAAAGCTTTCTTTCGGCTCTAAGAGCTTCCATTCTTCCTGCTATGCAGAATCTGCCTTCAACACAAAGGTAGGACTTTGATGAAGGATCCCTGAATGTCACCACAGAAAGTGCAGGGGTGGAGGTGGCGAGGAGGAGGCAGGCATCCTGATCCTCCATGGGTGTAGACAGAAGCTTGAAGACAATCTCACAACCTCCCATCCGAAGCTTTAATTTCCTCTATAGGATCTCGGCCAAGTGCTCATCCAACCTATCCTTGAACACCTTCAGGGACAGGCCACTCTGCCTTACAAGAAGCTCTTTTCACATTTGGACTGTGCTGATTGTGACAATGCTCATTGTAATACCAGTCTGGAATCTTTCTCCCTGTAGTCTGTACTCTCTGGTCCTAGTTGTTCCTGTTGCAGCTCAAAGAAATAATCTAAACCTTTGCTCACACAATAGCCCTTCAAACCAAATATCTGCACATATCCATTATATCTATCAGATTGTCTCTTCTGGCTAAACTTGCCCATTTCCTTCATCCATTTCTCATGTGATCTGATTCTGAATCCTCTCCTATCCTGATTGTTCCTTGATACTGGATCCTGCAGGTGTGGGATGAACAGAGCAGAGTAGAATCAACTACTTCCTTATTTTAGAGACTTGAGTTCAACTAGAGTAGCTTAAGATTGCATTGTCTTTCTGGCAACCAAAACATATGAATAACTCATACTGGATTATTTTCTAACATGTTTAACTTTTTTTTTTTTTTTTCTTCATGGTACTGCTTTCTAAACCAGATCTTGCCAGTCTAGAACTTGCTCAGGTAATTTTTGGACCCAAGTATATAACGTAGCATTTATCCTTATTCTAAGATTTGGCTCCTTTTGGATCCTAATTCTGCCCAGGTCTTGCATTTGCAATCTGTCCCAGCTTTGTGTCAGCCACACAATTGATGGCCATGGTGTTTTATAGTTTTGAATGAAATCAGTGTTAAGAAACTTGAATAGGGCAAGGCCAAAGATAAGCTCTCTGGTACATCACTAGAAAACTAATTCCAGGCCAGCATGGTCTACTCACCAGTACCATTTATTTTTTTTATTTTTAAGTCACCTAATTATATTAGCATTCTGTTCATAAGAATTCCCAAGGACACAATGAAAGATCTTGTAAAAAATCTTGCTAGAGCTTAGGTATACTTTATCTATTGCATTTCTCTGATTTGTCAATTTAGTAACCTTATCATAGAAGGAAATTAGGTTATTTTGATGTGACATGTTCTTAGTAAACCCATGTTGGGTCCTATTGATAGCTTCCTTTCCCCTACCTTGACCAAGTAATGACAATCTTACTATTTTATTGTAGAATCTTGCCTAGTTTCAATATCTTACCTGTTTGTAGTTTGTGAAATATACCTCATTTTTCTTTTTCTTTTTTATAAAGATGACTGGTAAGGGGATCTTAACCCTTGACTTGGTGTTGTCAGCACCGCACTCTCCAAAGTGAGCCATGAGCCGGCCTTCATTTTTCTTTTTAAAAATTAAAATTATGTTCACTCATCTTCAACTTTGCAGCACTTCCTTGGTTCTCTAATATTTCTCAAAATTTCTTATAGAAGTTTACATCTTCTTTCCAAGACCTGAGGATCAAATGAGAAGGCATGCTAATGTGTGAGTTCTGAAATGGCATTTAGATGCAGGCATTGTGGTAGTTGTTTGTTATTATTACTACTACTGAGTATCAAATATGTCTTTACTTGGGCTCTAAATATGAATTCTTCAAACTTCAGAGTTGCAGAGCTTCCTTTTTGTAGCTAGGGATATTGGGGAGTGAGTGGCATCCAAATCTGGTTGAGTAGTCTCATACGGACAAAAGTTCCAAATGGCCTGGGGGCTCGTGAAATGGGCATCCTGGTTGCCTCTGAACATTCTTGGGATTATCATCCATTGGTGATCTCCAATTCACTGCCTACCTGGATGATCCCAAATAATTTAGAGTTTTACAAGGGAAAGGCTATGGGGAAAATAGGGTAGAGGGACAGTATGAAGAATTATATTTGGAAAGGAGAATGTGATGGGCTTCTCTGTTCTATAAGGAGGGCCAGACTCTCCAGAGATCACCCTGCTCCTTCCCAGAAGATCTGGCCATCACATTCAGAGTCCAAGTGTTCAAGTGATTAAAATTCTTTCTCTGCTGGAAAAGTACAAGTTACTTCTTGGGCGGGGGTGCCAGGCACCTTGTATTAAGTGAACTGTCTCCTGTTTCAGTACTTTGTCCCACTTTCTACTATCAGAATAGCAATCCTGAATTTGAGCCTGTGCAGACATAGCCATTAACTAATATACACTCCTAACTCTCCTACTTCACTCAGTCACGACAATTTTGCCACCTACAATCTGGCATTTCTGTCAGTCCTTGGGAAAATGTTTCAGTGCTGCTAGGAAGCTTCAGCATGTTGCTTCTTTTCCACCACTGCCTGTTTTTGTTTTGTTTTCTTTTTGCTCAGGTCCTATCCATACTCTTCCTACCACCACCCTAGATTCTGACCCAGACCAAATTTCTCCAGTTGATAGATGATAGTGAGGATAAAAAATGAAATGGGCTGGGTGCTTGGAGAGCATCTGGAAGAAGAATGGGCAGTTTCTGCTATTTTCTGAGCCAGATGAATATCAGTGGGTATGACTTGGGGTTAGGGAAGAGAATAGATAAATTAAGCATATGTGTTTGTTAAGGGAGATTGGCCTGAAGGATTCAGTGGGACAGCCTTTCCTGTCTTATGATAGCCATTCCTGAGGGTGGGGAGGGATCCTACTTCAGAATTAGAGATCTTCACATAGAACTGGCTTTGTGATAAATGGAGATCAGTAAAGCCCTTGTTAGTCTTACCCCCACCTTCGTGGAACCAGGAACTTTATTCTCTGCCTCTCCTCTTCAAAGAATTACAAATATTGGACTGCATTGCAATTATTTGCTTACTGAACATGTGTCTTTCTCACCAGGCTGTGAGTTCTTGGAGAACAAGGATGATGTCATTTTCATTTTTGACTTACTGCACCATGCACAGTGCCTGGCACATAGCAAGTCCTCACTAAATATTTGCTTACAAAAGAACAAATAAGTGGCACTCAAATGAATGTGCATTCTACAATAACCTCCATTATGCTGTCTTGCTCCCTCCAGATGACATCAGTTGCCAAGGTGTATTACAGTCAGACTACTCAGACAGAAAGCCGGCCCCTGGTGGGCCCAGGGATACGACGGCGGAGAGTCCTGACAAAAGACGGCCGCAGCAATGTGAGAATGGAACACATTGCTGACAAGCGCTTCCTCTACCTCAAGGACCTGTGGACAACCTTCATTGACATGCAGTGGCGCTACAAGCTTCTGCTTTTCTCTGCGACCTTTGCAGGCACCTGGTTCCTCTTTGGAGTGGTGTGGTATCTGGTAGCTGTGGCACATGGGGACCTACTGGAGCTGGGCCCCCCAGCCAACCACACCCCTTGTGTGGTACAGGTGCACACACTCACTGGAGCCTTCCTCTTCTCCCTTGAGTCCCAGACCACCATTGGCTATGGCTTCCGCTACATCAGTGAGGAATGCCCACTGGCCATCGTGCTGCTTATTGCCCAGCTGGTGCTCACTACCATCCTGGAAATCTTCATCACAGGTACCTTCCTGGCGAAGATTGCCCGGCCCAAGAAGAGGGCTGAGACCATCCGTTTCAGCCAGCATGCAGTCGTAGCTGCCCACAATGGGAAGCCCTGCCTTATGATCCGAGTTGCCAATATGCGTAAAAGCCTCCTCATTGGCTGCCAGGTGACAGGCAAACTGCTTCAGACCCACCAGACCAAGGAGGGTGAGAACATCCGGCTCAACCAGGTCAATGTGACTTTCCAAGTAGACACAGCCTCTGACAGCCCCTTCCTCATTCTACCCCTTACCTTCTACCATGTGGTAGATGAGACCAGTCCCTTGAAAGATCTCCCCCTTCGCAGTGGTGAGGGTGACTTTGAACTGGTGCTGATCCTAAGTGGAACAGTGGAATCCACCAGTGCCACCTGCCAGGTGCGCACTTCCTACCTGCCAGAGGAGATCCTTTGGGGCTACGAGTTCACACCTGCCATCTCACTGTCAGCCAGTGGCAAATACATAGCTGACTTCAGTCTTTTTGACCAAGTTGTGAAAGTGGCCCCCCCTAGTGGCATTCGTGACAGCACTGTACGATACGGAGACCCAGAAAAGCTCAAGTTGGAGGAGTCATTACGAGAGCAGGCTGAGAAGGAGGGCGGTGCCCTTAGTGTGCGCATCAGCAACGTCTGATGGCCTGTTCCTATCTCCCCATCCTTCTCGCCTCTTTTCCTCTCTTTTGGCACTCTGGGTAAGGGATACTACCCAGTTTTACTGGAGAGCCCCAGAAGCACCCATCCTCCATTCCCTTCTCTTTAACCCAGTGGCCTGTCAGTAGTGTAGGCCAACTGGAGTCCCAAGTTTTCCTCCCACTATCCCCTTTCACTTCCCCTGCTTCTACCCTAATACACACACCTCCTTTAAGCCAGGATGGGGGAAGGAGAGGGATGATTAGGCTGAAGTGGCTTAGAAGGCCCCAGCCATGCTTGGAGACTCATACTAGGAGGACCATGTGGTTGGATGGATAGATTCCTCCCTACTTCCTGCCACCGTCAGAAAGCTTGGTTATTTGAGGCTGGAACCCCCTCCGTTTCTCTTTCATCTAGCAAGTTCCCTACAGTAAGACTCTCCTTGATGGTCAGTTTGGGTTCTGTGCCCTCAGAAAAACAGGAATCTGAAATCAACCTATCCTGGGGTCTCTACCAGCCCCTGTTGAAAGAAGCCAGGGTATGTCATGGTATAGCTAATTTCTGAGGTTGACTCAAGAAACATAAAAAAGAGAACCATTACACCTGCACCTGTGCTGGACTCTGAGCTCTTCCATTTAGAGTGATGAATGCAGAGCCGTTGTTTAAAACTTTGAACCTATCTTCTAGGCAGCCCTGGGAAGATTTGTTTTCCTATGTCCTGTGAATGGGAAGACCCCAGCCAATATGTTCCCTTGAAAAAAGTCCAGTGCCCAGGCCCCATGGAAAGGTCGAAAGTGATATTCCAGATTACATTGTATGTGGCTTCTCTTCTTTTCCTACCCAACCCAGACCCCTCTTCTCTTAACCCCTCCCCTTTGGAGGAAGAGAGGGAATATGCAAGGGCCTCCCTTTCTTAACACTGATGCTCAACTAAAGCTAGATTCTCAGGCACAGATTCCCCAGGAAGTTAAGCCAACCCCACCAAGTGGGATGGGTAAATTCTCAGATTTCCAGACTGCTATGCAGAACCTCTGGGAATTGGTGATGCTTTGTGAAGGTTTGGGCAGAAGCAGAACTCTGTGGCTGGCAGGCACTATTCTCTGTTACATCTCCCGGTGCCTTTCTGTAAAGTGCCAGTTATTTCATTAGGCAATGCTGGGAGGGAAGAAAATGATACCTCCTGATCAAATAACCATGGTCATCCTCAGCCATTCCTGAGGCTTAGTATAAAATGATGAAAATCAGTGTCATTTCTATTCTCCTCTGCCATGAGTCCAGTTTGAGGCAAGTTTAAAAGCATACTTTAAGAGATCAGATCCAGGCCATTCCTTGTTCCCTGGTGGGGATTGCAGTAGGGATCAGGGAAGGGTATATAGGCACCAGAACTTTCTATTAACCTCCAAATCCCAAGAGTGCTTTCTTGTATCATTTAGGTACTGTATGAACCCCCACAAAGCGGTTTGGCATAGAGTCTCTATGTGAATCAAGTGGCAGTTTACTTAAGGTGGACTCAGCCGATTGTTACAAACTACATACTTACACAGAATTATACTGCATCTGTGTGCAGAGCCGTGCAGAAAAACTCACAAAATTTTGAGGCTGGACTCATGGTCATCACCTACTACACCTGCACAATTTCCTCTTATAATGATCTCCCTGAATTCAACTAACTGTATCTTGAAATTGAAGACCCTTTAGTCTCCACTTATTATAAACCCCACCATTACTCCCTAGCTCTCATGAAAACAAGAACCAGAAAAACTTGAAAATTTGGAAAAGAAAACAGAAGGCAAAGAGCCAGCTTCTACATGTTCAACTTTATTCAACATTACACTTACCCGGTTTCTCTCAATGTGTATGGGCAAAATGTACCATTGTGTGTGTGTGTGTGCATGTGTGTGTGTGTATATCTTCTTATCCACTGGCAAATTATCACCCACATAGTTTCTTCTGCACCCTGCTGCTTCCCTCCTGAAGGAATTCTCTCTTCCTTTTCCCCTGCTGTCTATTCTAAACCCCCAGATTCTACTGATTCTTAGATAACTAAGTGAGAAGAGAACATGTACTGACTTACTCTTTTTGAACCTCCTCCACTATCCCAGGCTTTGCTCTAAGTTGCACATAAATCATGCAATCTGGCATCTTCTCCCTTAAGCCCCCCTCCAGGGAACAACTCCTCCCACTCCCAACCCTTTGGACTACAGCCTGTCTCCTCTGACCTGGAATCCTCTTTCAGGCTACAGGACAAGTTTTAGAAGCAGCCAGTCTGGTGAGAAATGGGGCCCCTGTCCACACCAGCCATGTACTTGTCAGAAGAGTACTAGCAAAACAACCGATGGGGGAGGATACCCAGGGTGTCAAGGTGAGGAAGGATGGTGCAGAGGACCTAGGGAAATTAATGAAACCCTTGAGTCTTACTTGGGCTAGCAAGCAAGAGGTGTGTGGAGGCTCAGGGAATTAGGATATGATACATATGTAAGGTTTATCTAAGGAGAAAGAAACAGAGATAATATATATAGACAGATGTATATAGATGTATATATGCCCAAATATACTGAATGTACAGAAAGGAACTATTCAGAGACCTTAGTATAGGGGGCAGATATCTTGCCCTTAACAGCAGATACCTATTGTGGGGTAGGGCACCCAGGTTTTCAGATTTACAGCTAGTGATCATGGTTTCAACATGGAAGTGAGATAGCTGATGAAGGATTTCAGGTTTGATGATGGGAAAGGGAAGGGTGCAATCTGCTCTTCAGAAATAGTCATCCATCGAGGCTTTTGATGAATGCTGTGCTACTGATAGGCCTAGGAAGAGAGGAGCTAGGTAGAAAATGGGGAAAGGAGATACTGCATCCATGGAAACCTAGGAAAATCTACTACTTAAACTGTGTGACCCCAGTCCCAGCAGCATCCTGCCACTGTAGCAGCTTTTATAAAAAAATAAATAAAAGCACCCTTCTCTTTCCCTCTCATAAAGTACACTGTATCTCCCCTTCTTCCACAGAGGTGGGAGCAGCTGCAGCTCCAGCCCTTGCCCCTGGAATTAAACTGAGAAGCTGAACACCTTGGTATATGGGAGGCATTAAAGGGAAGCCTCAACCCTAGAATCCAAATGCCAGGACTGAAGAGCTGTTGGGCCCAAGATACTCCCAAGGCAGAGGCCCTGCCCCTTATATGGCTGCAAGCAGCCCCCAAAGAATGTCATCTTATGCCAGCAGAGTCCCAATCCTGGCATTTTGGCATGAAGGATGATGCTTTGGCTTTGATGCTTCTGTATGAAAAAGAGAAGTGGGACTACCAGCTTCCCTAGAAGATGGTGCAGTTCCAAGAGAGGCTTTTGAAATCCCTACACTGTGCTTCACTTCATTAACCCCAACACTTGTCAGCTAATAAGACCATCCAGGGATTTCCCTACAAGGTCTGAGCAGAGGAAGCAAGACAGTTTTACTACTGCTACAAGCCAGGGACATTGCACCCTCCCCAAGGCTGCTACCCTGGTCCTTTACCCCTCCTAGCTAACCTAGATTATTTGTAAAATAACACACAACCTTTTCCGTAAAGTCAGCATGGGCCTCCAGGCTCAGTAATGGCCAACTCTACTGAAGCAGAAGTATCTAGGGATGGTTTTTCCATCCATTGCATTAAAGACTAAACAAGGTCAAATTTACCTAGGAAAAAAAGGTGTGTGAGTTTTTTTGGTTTGTTTTATTTTATTTTTGTCTGCTCAGAACAAGCTACTAAATAAAATGGATGAATCTCTGGTCTTCACTCTAGCTTCTTTTAGAAATCAAAACCAATACTATTAGTGAGGCTTGAACTCATAGGCCTACCTGTGGGACAGGAGGGTTGACTTAAGCTGTGCTGGAAGAACTTCTGACCACGTGCCCAGGCCTCTTCCATTTAATTTCCCTTCCTTTTCATTAATGATATCACCCATTCATTCCACTCCTTTCCCACACCTCCCCTCATTAACTTTAGGATCCTTTAGCAAACACCTTTTAAATTCAGTTTTTTTTTTTTTTTTTAAAGATGACCGGTAAGGGGATCTTAACCCTTGACTTGGTGTTGTCAGCACCACACTCTCCCGAGTGAGCCACAGGCCGGCCCTAAATTCAGTTTTTAAAGGACAAGATTTTAAAAAACGTTAACGCTCAAGAATCTGAAAGTTGGCTCAATTTAATCCAGGAACGTCAAGTTGCTCTGGATCCCAGGCACTGTCCCTTTTGGCCAGTGATCACAAGTCCAATTTCCCTTCTGTGTAGACTTGTTGCCAGTTTTCCTTAAATATCCTCAAGGCTCTACAAGCCTATTCCTTTAATCATCAGGCATTTCTTCCCCCAAGTCTCATAGAAATGGATTTCTCTTCTTATTATCTACCACTAGCCTGAAAAAGGCCTAGTTGTCAATATCCAGCTGTGAATTCTCTCTGACAAGAAGCAACACATCCGACAGTCACTGACTTGTGTTTCTTAGAAATAGGACAGAGGAAGGAGAAGGGAGAAAATTAGGTCTCTTATCATCATCAATAAATACTTATCTACAACATTTAGGAAGTACTAGAGATGAGCCATAAGACATATGAGATAGTTAAGATATATGGAATGTATAGTACCTGAAAGTTTGAAGAAACCTACAAACTTAAGAGGAAAGAGAAATAAAATAAGTAGCACATACTAACTGCATTTAACAAGTAGCATATAACAAATATAACGAAGGACAATAATAAATAGCATATAGTAATGCCAGATATAGCTTAACAACATATTCTAAAAAGAGTGAAATCTCTGTGGATCTATTTCACAGGGACAAGCACTAGGCAAGAAATGGTATCAATCTAAGAGGTCTGGTTAGAACACATTTGACATTAGATTCAAGAAAAACCAGCAAATCCTTACTGAGTTCCTATTATTTGGAAGGTGCTATGCAACTAACAGAGAAATACAAGACATGATACATGCTTTCAGCGCATATACAGTCTTGGGACTTTCCACGCTATTCCTTCTGTGGAACTCTCTCCCCACTGCCTGCCAATCCCCAACCTTCCCAACTCTTACTATGCCCATCTTAGATCAAATAAATTTCATTAAAAGCCTCAGCACTTACCACAGCTACAATTTTACATCATTTGTGAATTTATTTGGTTAATGTCTATCTCATTTGCCAGACTTTAACTGTCATGTGAATGGGATTCATGTCAAAGTGTTTGGTCACCAGTACAGTTCAGGATCTGGTACAGTGACACTCAATATAAATGTAGCAGGAGAAAAGGAAAAAAAAGAGGGAGGGAAAGGAATTGCCTAAAGTTCACACAGCCAGTATGCAGTGGAGATAGCAGATCTTGTTAAATAACCATGAAAGATTTAGGTAACATATTTCACAAGGCATGACATAATTAACTGTTCAAAAATAGAACAGATAATAAACACCACTGTTTGGGGGAGGAAGAGACCATTTCCACTGAAGATCTAGGAAGAGTGTACAGAGGAGTTGAGGTTTGAGCTCAGCATTGAAGGATAAATAGCATTTAAGGAAGTGAAGAGGAACAGGATTGTTTGTAGGTGGCACAGCATGAGCAAAGTATCATAAGAAGAAAGCAAAAGGGCTTTACAGGTGGATAGGTTGAAAGGTAAAGTAAAGCCAGGTAATGGAGGGATTGAATATCAGGCTAGAGTTTATTATTTTCTCTTTAGGCAGCTTGGAGACACTGAAGATGTTTTAGGAAGGAAAGAATTAGTGAAGTATTATTTATGAATATCATTCTGACAGTAGAATTGAGACAGGGAACACTAAACCAGTTAAGACACTTTTAAAAGCTTGGGGAAAAGTAATTGCCACAGATCCTAGTATAATGTAGATGTTTGATACATATTATAAAATAGAGTTGTGGAAGGTCTGGACTAAGGTGCAGGATGCTGGGCACGGAAAGAATTAGGAATAGATTTAAAAGAAATTACAAAGCAGGTCATATGAACAAGATCTAACAAAAAAGAAAGTGATTAAATTAGAGTTCTAGCAGGAAACAGATGGTACATTCAAAGGGCTAACTGGACATGTTTTAAAGAAGGGATTCTTTTTTTTTTTTTTTTGTCTTTTTTGTGACCGGTAAGGGGATCGCAACCCTTGGCTTGGTGTCGCCTGCACCACGCTCAGCCAGTGAGCACACCGGCCATCCCTATATAGGATCCGAACCCGTGGTGGGAGTGCCGCTGTGCTCCCAAGCGCCGCACTCTCCCGAGTGTGCCACAGGGCCGGCCCAAAAAAGGGATTCTTAATAAATCAACAGGAGATGGTGAAGCACCCAGGGACTCACCAAATAGGAAGCCTTTACCAGCCTTAAATCAGAAGGGAGTTATTGGAAACTGGTCAGAGCTGTACCCAAGGGAGAGGGCTATAGCTACAACAGAAGCCATGGCCATAGATAGAGGAACTCAGATACCGTAGAAGATCCACTAGTGCCTACCACTGGCTTATTCTAATGGGAAGCCAGAGAACAAGGAAGACTGACTGATGCTGCCCATTGAGGTTAACCTTGTGGAATGCAGAAGAGGGCAAAAGATAGAGTGGACATGAAAAGGTAATGACAGCATATGCAGCATAGTGAACAAGGTCAAAGCCCTGGCTAATGATACTAGAGATGAGCTAGGCATGTGTGTTCTTTCCCTAGCCACTGGCCCTAAAAGGATGGAAATCTTGGGGCAGAGAGTGAAAAAAGGAATTAGGAAGGATTGTAAGTAATAGTCTAAGAGGCAATGAACAGTTGAGCATTTGAAAAAAATGTAGCTCTTTCAGGGAGAGGTGAGAAGATTGAATCCCTAAGCCAATGCAAAAAGCTCAATATGGGGACCTTAGACCCTGTGATTTTTCTGTCCTACCTAGAAATAGTAACTAAAGTTGGACATGAAAAATTTGATTTATAGGACTCCAGTCTCTTCTCCATCCTCACAAATACTATCCATAACTCACTCCTTTGATTTCAGTGACACACTTAGTTTCTTTTGGTTAGTTTATTTATCTGCTCCAAATTGGTGCCTCCCACCTCTCCATTAGGTCAGCCATGTAAGGACAGATTGGCTGAGGCCTTTCTGCCATACTACCTAAACCAAACCAGTCAGAATCCTTCTTAGTTAATTCCTCAGACATCTACCTCCCATATTCTCTACTTCTTGGGACTAAGCCTCACTTTTCGCTCACAGAGGAAAAGAATAAATCAGAGATAGAAAGAGTCACAGTGAGAGAGAATATCAGAAAGATTCAGACAAGAGATCAGTAAGAGGAAAGAGAGAGGGAAATTAGAATTCGTAATCAACACTTTATCTGTAAGCCAACCACATAGTGATTAAGATACTCAGGGTCAGACAGACCTAGTTTTAAGTTCCAGCTCTGCCACAAGCTGGCAACGTGACTTAGGAAAATTAGATAATCTCCATAAGCCATGATTTTTCTCATTTGTAAAGGTAGGAATATCTACCTTACGTGAAAAGTATTTAGCACAATACCTGGCACATTGTAAATAAATCTCCAACAAATCCAGCTATTATAAATCACCATCATAATTATTATTATTTATATGGTGATGTGCTACCACCGTATATATGTCTAAAGTACAGGGAAAAAAAAGGTTAGAAGTAACTGTCATTCTGAGGCATATAATTATACCAAGGCATATAACAGGATATAGAGATATCAGACTATGACATCTCTAGTCCTGGCCTGAGAGATGTAGCTTGCAGCTGGCTCTTTGTTGTGAGTCTGCCTCTGTTGACTGGAGTTGGGGAAGGAGAAGATACAGTCACTTACAATGTATAATAACATGACGTGGTTCATCCAAAGGATAAATATGAACTGTAGGATAGATGAGTGGAAGGTAGTCCTGGGAGCTGCATGTTCAGACTGGATAGAGTCACCTCTTCTTCTTATGCTAGTCTAAAAGACTTCCCCTAGGAAACAGGCTCAATCTGTAAAATCAAGTCAGTCAGTATTTACTAAACATTTACCATGTGCCTAAGACTGCAATAAATTTTTAGGATTTAAAAAAAAAAATAAGGATAAGATATAATTCCTACCTTCAAGAACCCTACAATCTCATTGAAAGGGTTATGAATACACTCTAAAATAAATCAAATTCTGCAATGTAGACTATAATTGTAATAAGTGAACACAGAAGGGAAAGGGCTAATGAACTGTAGTCCTTGGTGAGAAATTCATGGAAGGAGGGTTGGAGTAAGGTGGGTGAAAGGGGCTACTTTTATGTAGGTAAAGGATATTTGAAAGGGGAAAGAACTGGGAGTTGGGAGCACTTCAAAGATGCCACTCTAGAAGTGTTCTGATATAAGAAACGTCCAAAATTAATTCAATTTTTATTGAATGGCTACTATAAATCTGGTACTGTTAGATGCTTAAGTACAGAGAAGAACAAGATAATCTCTGTTTTCAAGGAACTCAAAGCGTTCTGATGGAAAACTAGGAGAGAGAAACAAACAAAAAACAATTATTACAAAGCAGTGTGACAAATGCTATAACAAGGAATGACCAGCAGCACTGGGATGACAGGCACCAGACAGAACCTTTATGTAGTGGAGCAGGGTCTGTGTGGGTGATTTTCTGGAGCTTAGAGCCCATCCGCCCCAGTCCGTCTACCCTCAGACAACGGAGAGGACTGGCATTTAAATCATTCTGCGTGATGCGGCATTGGGCATAGAGCTAGGATACGCTTCTAGCAGTTAACACGTGAGCTGAAGCCTGAGGGGTTAAATAGCTGTTTGCCAGGGTGACTGCAG